GGTTAAATATTACAAATACATCTATAAGTTGGATATTTTTTAGCCATTAAATAAAAAAGGACAAGACAGCGCTACATATACAGGTGTCAATACAGAAGCTATAAATTCTCACATGGAAACTAAGTGAAAAGGCAACACACAGAACATTGTGTATGAGATGCCAACAAGGGGAAGAAAGACACACAAGAAACTGGCAAAGGGGATCAGCTCTAGAGAGGGAAGCTGGGTATCCAGAAGACTCAAAGGAAGAAGAAATTGACTTTTCATTGCATACACTTTCTTTCTTCTTAATTTTATGAAATGTACTATATACCCAATACAAAAAAATTAACTTTAAAATATTTTTAAACACCCTAGACTATGCCAAATTAAAACATGTTTTTGCTGTGGTGATACAATAAAAATCTCAAGTTTTTTATTTGTATTTCTCAAACACTGCAAAAGGGCACATAGTCTTCAGGGAGATTTCTTCAAATCCCATTTGCCTCTTTATTATGTAATATTCTCATATTTCATAATTTCTAATAGTTTTTTCCCCCTACAAGGCTGAAACTTCCCCACAAAATTATCCTCTTCCTCCAGCTGTGTTTTTTGGATTAATTCCTGCTGTAGGTGGTTGGACACATCAATGACTTCAACAAAGATCCCCATTCTCATATAGCTTACATTCTATCAGGGAAAATGTAGATATAAAATAAAGATGAGAATTATCTACTCAGTTAGAGTTGAAAAGCACAATGGAGAACAGAAAAATGTAGAGCAGAAAAAAGGAAAGTCGGGGCAGAAGAAGGCAGGTTGCAGTGTTAAGTATGGTTATAAGGGTTGAACTCAATGACAAGATGATATTTGAGCAACAATATGAACAGGGAGATGGAGAATTAATCTGTATGGACATCTTGGTGAAAAGGGTTTTAGACAATGTGAAGAGACATGTGAGACCCTAAAGTAGGGCATAACTAGTGTATTTCAGGAGCACCAAGGAATCCAGTGTGACTGGAGCTAAGAAAGTGAGGAGAATAGAAGATGAAATCAGGGAAATAAGGAGGCCCTTGTAGGCCATCGCACCACATAACATGAAGCTTTGGGCCCTGAAGTGCAATGGAGAACCAAATAGGGTGATGCCACTGTGATTTTTTCCATTATAATCCACACTCCGTAGTCTTCCTGCATCAGAGTCCCAATATTTGACTGACGTCGGTCACCCCTGTGCTGCTAGCATGCGTCAGGCACCACAACACATTGTTCCTCATTTCTTTTTGTTTTCTGAGACGGGGTCTGGGTCTGTCACCCAGGCTGGAGTGCAGCGGCACAATCTCGGCTCACTGCAACTTTTGCCTCCAGAGTTCAAGTGATTCTCCTGCCTCAGCCTCTCAAGTAGATAGAATAACAGGCGCATGCCACAATACCCGGTTATTTTTTGTATTTTTAGTAAAGATGGGTTTTGTCACATTGGCCAGGCTGATCTTGACTTCAAGTAATCCTCCCATCTCAGCCACCCAAAGTGCTGGGATTACAGGCATGAGCCACCGCGCCCAGCCTGTTCCTCAATTCTGATAAGGGTTTTTATTGAATAATCGATTTGATTGCCTTTTAAAAAGTTTTAATTGGGAATTCTTGAAGCATTTAGACTCCTGTACAAACAGTAGTATTTTAGTGCATTTGTCATGAAAGAGATCCATTTATTCGATGAATAAATTTGTTTCTGTTGTTTTAATTAATTTCTTTGAGTGCCTTTTTTTTTTTTTTTTTTTTTTTTTTTTTTTTTTGAGACGGAGTTTCACTCTTGTTGCCCAGGCTGGAGTGCAATGGCGCGATCTCGGCTCACCGCAACCTCCGCCTCCTGGGTTCAGGCAATTCTCCTGCCTCAGCCTCCTGAGTAGCTGGGATTACAGGCACGTGCCACCATGCCCAGCTAATTTTTTGTATTTTTAGTAGAGATGGGGTTTCACCATGTTGACCAGGATGGTCTCGATCTCTCGACCTCGTGATCCACCCGCCTCGGCCTCCCAAAGTGCTGGGATTACAGGCTTGAGCCACCGCGCCCAGCCTGAGTGCCTTTTTGTCTAGCTATTGGCAATACTGAATATCCTTTCTTCCAATCACAACTTTAAAATTTCTGCTTCCTTTGTCCACCACCAACTAGACCCTGCCACATTCATCTTCACAAATTGTTCCTGTGACTATTGGCACAGTTGTGCTTTCACACCCGCATCACCATGACTGAGAAGCCACTGCCCAAATCAGCTTCTCTGCAGACAATTTCAGGTCCCTCCTGAAAGCAACTCTGGCCTCAGCCTATAGCCTTGCATCCCATGTCTAGTCAAAAGCCTCCTTACAACTATCTTCTACGAACCTTTATTTTTCTGGTAGAGATGGGGTCTTGCTATGTTGCCCAGGCTTGTCTCAAATTCCTAGTCTCAGGCAATCCTTCCACCTTAGCCTCCCAGAATGCTGGGATTACAGACATGAGCAACCATATCCAGCCTTCTTTTTTCTGGGGAGGGGAATGCATTTATTTTTCTGGGGAGGGGATGACTTTATTACTGTCCTGCTCCATCTCCACAGCAAAATGGGCCCTGCCTGCTCCAGGCTTGCATCATGTATCACCACAGCAAAAACATAACCTACTTGAACATGTTCCTACCCAGAATATGTATTAAAATTATTTAAAGAAAACAGAATAAATTAATAACTTAAGTGATTAGGCACCAACAGCAATTTGAAAAATCAAATGTCCAGTTTAAATGGTAACAAGACAAGAATTTAAGACTGGGATTACTCTAGCCCATCTTCTCTTCCTGTCAAATAGCGACAGTTCTGTGGGAAATGATTCTAAATGATTCTAAACTTCAAGACACAAGTAGCAGACGAATACACAAGAACACATACCACCAGAAATCACAGGACAGCCTGAATTTCCAGGTGGCCTCCTCGGCAGGTAGCCCACCATGATCCCAGGCCCCAAAGAGCTTGGCAAGTCCCAGCAAGGTGGCCCCCTGAGGAAGGCTTTTAGAGCTCTGGAGGTCACCTTTGCTTCCCCCACGTTTTAAAGATAAAGGCCCAGACAGGGCCACTTTCACAATCTTTCTCAAAACCTCCTCTAATCAGCTTTCACAATCGAGAGAGAACGAGAGAACTGCTAATTTAATCAATGCATCTTGTTCTGACTGTGGCAGGGGGTGTGGACAGAATGTTCTTTCCATATTTTTATTTTCTTCTGAAGCTCCTTTGGAAAGGCTGGTTTTGAATGCACTGGGCTTGTCAGAAAGTGCCTTAATCCTAGTTGAGCAATAGAATCAATAATTTTGGATTTGTGCTGTATGACAAGTCTACCAGACAGGGCATGGCAAAAATGTTCTCCTTGATTTTTTTTTTTTTTTTTTTTTTTTTTGGAGCTAGTAACACTGAGATTTAGTCAAAGCTACAGAGCCTGAATTTAGATAAGTTGCTTTGGTTTTTCACTAATAAGATTTCTAGGAATCAGCTTACTTCAAAATCGCATGTGCACACTGTGTTTTTCTTAGTTTGTCATTCCTATGCTCTGGCAAATTTCCGGGTCTAATTCCAAGACGTTGCAATTTCCCCATGGGTACCACAAAAGTGGTGATGTGTGCCTGGTCAATTTTCTTATGTGGTTGTCAAAAAAAATAAATTTCATCTGATTGCTTTACCCACATGTTATGATTATTCCCTTTGGGAGAATATATACCAGGTCAAACACTAAATAATTTCTTTTTAAAGCACAGGTCCAATCGTCCAAACACAACTCATTTACATGACCCCAGAACCACCTGTATATGTTCTTCCCTTTGAGAAACTGCTAATCCTAAGGACCATTTTGCCTAAAAACTCAGGAATCCCTAATCTATACCACTCTCCATCTCACCTTTGGCCTATACGCCAGGATACCATGCTAATAAATGATGCATCATTCTCAGCTTCTAGGCTTTGTGGATGAGTGGGACTGGGGCCCAAGTCCTACTAGATCAGAACTGAAGAGACCTGCTGCCTGCTCCACTTGGGGCACGGATGCCATGCATAGCTTAATTTCACACAGCTCTTTAATTGAGCCCCAGTGCTAACAGCTTAATGGGACACCACGGCATTATATCCTGCAGATTTTAAATTAAAGTTTGAGACCCCCCCTCAGGACATGCACAGTACTCCAATTAACACTAATTGGCATTACACATGATTATCAAGTGAAAAACATAGTTTTCCTGAAAATGCCTCCTCCTTTCTCCAGCTTTAAATAGACCATAAATTCTAAGAAAACAATCATGGGTGCATGCAAAGATTAGCTAGAATGATGTCTAGCATGATGTTGATTTTGGAGAACGTTGGAAACAACCTAAATATCTAAAATGGGGGTTCTGTACATAAAAGATAGTAGAAACAAAAGCAATTATTTTTTAATGTTATACATAATGTTCACATAATGTTCACATGAGAAGGCATTCATGATATATTATTAAGTGAAAAAAGTTAAAGAAGTGTAGGAATTGCATGGTATCACTTTCTCCATAGCATAGAAAAAAGACTCTGGAAGGATATATATATATATATATATATATATATATATATATATATATATACACACACTAAAATGTAAATCTCAAGGCGGTAAAAATAATATTGTTTGTCTTTTTCATTTCCATGTCTAATTTTTATTCTTTGAAAAATGCACTATTTTTGCAAAAGAAAATGCCATTTTTAAATCCCTCATTAAATACAATGCAGTGGTTTATTTTGAAATGTTTTCAACCAATTCTTCATCCGCACCAACTCCTGTGTAGGGCACTGTGGATTCTATATCAATAATGTGTTGATAATTTTCACCGGAATTATGAAGGTGAACAGAGTTTTACATGTGTAGAAAGATGAACACTGGAGTCAATTTTTGCAAATGCACATTCTCATGTTCAGACTGATTCAATCATGCCAAACCACTCCTCTCCTAACACAGAAAGTTCATTTATGTCCATGTGTTTCTCTTCCAGAGCCAAAGATGTTTGTCTTGCTCTATGTTACAAGTTTTGCCATTTGCGCCAGCGGACAACCTCGGGGCAATCAGTTGAAAGGAGAGAACTACTCCCCCAGGTATATCTGCAGCATTCCTGGCTTGCCTGGACCTCCAGGGCTCCCTGGAGCAAACGGTTCCCCTGGGCCCCATGGTCGCATCGGCCTTCCAGGAAGAGATGGTCGAGACGGCAGGAAAGGAGAGAAAGGTGAAAAGGGAACTGCAGGTAATGAATGAGAAGTTGCATAAAACACTCTCCTTCACCCCCGTCTTAAAACTGTTCCCTTTCTTTGCTACTTTTTCTAATGAGAATTGCCCTTAAACCCCTTCTCTCCTTTACTTTCATTAATTACAACAATTTACTGAGCCCTTACTAGGCTTCAGATGCTGCCCTAAACTCTGTACCTGCATCTGTATTTCATTATAATGACAACTCTTTCAACTGAATGTTATCCTATATTATAGATGAGGAAATTGAACCACAGCATGACTAAATGAATTACTGAGAATGGATAGGGGTGGATGTGCACTGCTAGTGGCTACCAGAGCTGGACTCAAACATCTGATGCCCAGAAGTACTGGGCTATTGAAGCCAGCAGGCAATGGCTGGATGTGCAAGTGCATGGATAGACAGACAAACAGATGGACAGAAAGGGAAACAGATAGACTGAGCAGAGGCAAAAACCAGGAGCCAGATGCACAGATGCCATCCTGCTCAGCAGGAATATCCTGAAAAAAGATACGTAAAGAGTTTCTAAATTTTATTTTTCACAAATGAAATGAAAATAGCACTGTAAAGACTACCTTTCCTAGCTCATCACTTTCCCACCTGACACGTAGCAGCCAAAAAGTAGATTTTTACAGCTCTTTACAGCAACACAATTGCCCACTAGTTCTTCAGTAATTTTCACTTTGTTTTCCCCCAAAATAAATTGGCCCGGGAAGCTTGCCAGATTCTGCAGTCCTTCAGAGTAAACCGAATTGAAATTCTAGACAGGCTGTGTTAACTCTAAAAGAGGAAGGGATTTGGAATCAATCTTTTCAGACATGTTTTTGAGCATAAAAGTTGGGACAAAAGATAGGAAGGAAAAAGCTGTATATCTCAAATCATCGCACCTGATTTACTGGAATTCTGTAAAACAAAATCATAATATATATTCAGATTATTGGATAATAATTCATTTCTGAATTTGCCATGCAGATAATATCTGGCAAATCAATTACCAAATCTATGAACATTGCACAATAATAGATAAAGAACCTTTAAGTAATAAAGCTTCAACATCAGATAAGAAGCTTTAATTTGGAGCTAAATGTAAGTTTTCAAAGACGTCTATAAGGTAATGCCTGTGAATACAAGTTATACTGAGTCATAATTACAAATATTCTTGAAATCCTATAATAACACCAGGGTTATAGTTATAAATTGCTTTTAGTTTATTGAGTCTGGAAGCAATAATGTAGTGGCTATACAAACAAACACTGGGGTCAGAAAGACTTCGGCTCAAATCTTCTCTCTTTCAATCACTAATCTAGTATCCTTGGCCAAATATCCTCTGTGAGGCTCAGTTTCCTCACTTGTAAGTTGGTGGTCATAAGGGTGATTGTTAAGTTTGGGGGAAAGAGTACATGCAAAACACTCCACAGGATAACTGCCATATGGCAAAAACTCAGTAAATGTTATAACTTACTAAATTTTGACCTGCAAATATGAGTCACAGCTAAATTTGTGACTAGCCAAAGCCATATACTAAACTAGACATTGGTAATTCATTTCATGAGGTAGTTCTAATGTTGAAGACATATATGTGGATATGCATTCAGATTAAATTAAATGTTCAGAACTGCTACAATTTTAACCATATATGAGGCCAGCTTTGCCACCATATTCATAGATCCATTCATTCATCCATGCACCCATGCATTATACATTCAATAATATTTCTGTGCACCTATTACTATCCAGTATTATTCTACCAGTGTTTCTCAACCTCTGCACTAGTGATTATTGTGGAGTGACTATTCTGTGCATTGTAACATGTTTAATAGCATTCCACTGGATGCCAGTGGCACCCCTTTCCAAAGTGAAAATCAAAATTTTTCTGTACATTGCCAGCTACCCCCTGGGTAGAAAGATGGACAGTGTAAAATTGCATCTGGTGGAGAACACCATTCTAGACACTGGTAACACAAGCATAAGACATTGTTGTTGCCTTGATAAGCAGACATTCATGTTGGGGAGACCACCAATACATAAATACATAATTAAAATACATCATCATAATAACCATTTACTAAGAACTTACTATTTGTCAGAACCTTTACATTTCATATTTAATATCTACTGTATTATTAGAAATAATTATTATCAGCAATAATAATGCTACAAATAAAAAAAATTGAGATTCAAAAACAAAATGACTTTCCTAACCTGGGAGTATTTAAATACAATATACACACATAAGGATACATAGCAGCTCAGAAAGAAAAGGTAGGAATGACTACATGATCAATGAAGAGAGGCATACCTCACTTATAAACTACAGGAACAGCCTGAGAGATCTGGGGATGTGTTTTTAATATGGCTGTAACTGGGCACAACCTGGCTGGGAGTGCCTGCTCTCTGTTTCCCCTTTAATGACATTACAAGTGTCTTCTCATTCACATACTCTTAGTGAATACCCTCACCACATCCACCCCAACCAAGTCAGTCAAGCATATTTTTGGTCCAATTTCCCTATTCTAAATGAGAAATGTAGAGTTTGTTATACTAAGTTATAAATTTTCTATTAAAGTATCTGTCTCCCTCATTGGTCTGTTGAAATTATTACTGTATCATACTGTTAACATTTAATTTAATCTGGGTGCGTATCCATATAAAAATCTTCAGATAACACTAGAATGACCTCATGAAAAAGATCATTCATTCCAGCTTATTATATGGATTTACGTATTTGTGAACTTAACTAGACCCATATTTGCAGATCCAGGGTCGTAAGCAATAATGGCTAATTTTAGGATTGAGCAAGTGTCTTTCATGACCATGTTTCACTTAGCCCCTAGCCCGTGACTGGTATGTAGTAGATGGTCGATTAATGTTAGATGGTTTACATGGATTCACGCATGTATGCATAGATCCAGGGATGGATGGATGGAAGGATAGAATGAATGAATGGATGAATGGATGGAAGAAATGGTACAGAAGAAATCTAGGTAGACCCATTTTGTGGAGAACTATGAAGAAATCCTTTCTGATCTAGTTTCAATACTGAAACATAGACTAACCCTTACTACCATCATCCTCCACTCTACCCAAGCATATGTCTGACTAAATAAGGAGAAGAACAATAATTCATCCCTTCTTTTCACTCTCAATGTGTGGAACCTAAGCACATGAGCAAATTCTTCATAGAAACGGAAAGAATAACTACACATTATTACAGCTATTATGTGATTATCGGTCACCCAATTCAGCATCTTGAACAAACATTACTATAGAGAATCCAAACCTGGCCAGGTGCAGTGGCTCACGCCTGTAATACCAGCATTTTGGGAGGCCGAGGCAGGTGGATCACGAGGTTAGGAGTTTGAGACCAGCATGGCCAACATGGAGAAACCCCGTCTCTACTAAAAATACAAAAATTAACCAGGCATGGTGGCAGGTGCCTGTAATTCCATCTACTCGGGAGGCTGAGGCAGGAGAATCCCTTGAACCTGGGAGGCGGAGGTTGCAGTGAGCCGAGATTGTGCCATTGCACTCAGTCTGGGTGACAAAAACAAGACTCCATCTCAAAAAAAAAAAAAAGAAAAGAAAAAGAAAAAAAGAAAGAAAGAAAGAAAGAAAAAGAAAATCCAAACTTTCAGGCTCTGAAGGCCTTTTTGTGAACAGCATTATAAAAGTGCATCCCAGAATGTATGATTTGGTCTCAAGGAATTTGCAAGAGGGTGAGACCTCAAACAGTCTAGTCATTTCATTTCAAGGACTGGGAAACTAAAGCCAGAGAGATCAACCCTTTTCTTCAAATTCACCTGACTGATCCACGACTGAACTGGGGTTTTATCCCAGGCCCGCTGAGTCACTGTGGCTGTTTTGCCCAGTAAGTTTGGATTGGACTTAAATCCAATCTCCCCTTACTACAAATGGAGCATTTAAAACCCAGAAAAGAAATTACTTGCCCAAAATTTAAATTAAGGTTTAGCTTAATAAAAGTTCTTAAGAACAAATACATAGGTAAAGTAAAACTACACAATTCATCAGCAATATATGTGCTCTGACTACAAAAGTGCACTACAGATTACTAATAATTTGGATACTTTTTGAGGAAATATCATCATACAAGCACTATTTTTGAAATAGATTTGGCCATAAAATTGAATGATATCTTTTGATGATATTAAATCATTGCTGTTTCATACACACACACACACACACACTCATTGCTTTTCATATATATAAAATGTCAGTGTCATATATAAGTCAGTCATACATATAATCTATTTTATATATCAAACATCAATGTCATAGACGAAATCAGTATCTCATATAGATTTTATATACATGAAAGATTGCATATGTAATGTTTATATAAATAATCTATTTTATTTTTAAACCATTTATATAAATGAAATCTATTTTGCTTATTTTCTTCAACCAGAAGCACAATTATTCTATATTTAGCCTATAGTTCTGTGTGTCTAAATCTTTATATCTGCTATAAAGATTTAGACACACAGAAAATATTCCTGTATGGTCATTTTGAATTTGTGAAAATTCTTTTATAGCAATTACCTCTTTTCTGTATATAAAAAGACTCAGAAAAATTAAAGGACTTATCTAAAATGATACAACCATTTAGTGACAGAACCAAACACTATTCAAGATTCTTAACTCCAGCCCCAAAGGTAAAAGGCATTTTGATGAATGGGAAACATCATTAGACTAAGAAGGCTTGGATTCTAGTCCTAGCATTGCTACAAGTTGTTGTGGTTTTTTTGTTTTTTTTTTTTCTACCTGTCTGGGACTCAGTTCTCCCCTCACAAAGGAAGCTATTGTATGGTGGTGGCAGTTATTGTTTTTTGGTTATTGTAGCATGTTGAGCCCTCACTATGTGCCAGATGCACTTCAGAATTTATACTCCTGCTGGCCGGGTGTGGTGGCTCAGGTCTGTGATCTCAGTACTTTGGGAGGCCAAGGTGGGTAGATTACCTGAGGTCAGGAGCTTGAGACCAGCCTGGCCAACATGGCAAAACCCCATCTCTATTAAAAATACAAAAATTAGCCAGATGTGGTGGTGCATGCCTGTAATCCCAGCTACACGGGAGGCTGAGGCAGGAGAATCGCTTGCACCCAGGAAGCAGAGGTTGCAGTGCGCCAAGATCACGCCATGACACTCCAGCCTGGGCAGCAGAGTGAGACTCCATCTCAAAAAGAAGAAAAAATAAAAACATAGTAATTTATGCTCCTGTCAAATTCTCTGGTTCCAGAGTCAGGCAGGCATGAGGTCAGACCACAGTTCCATCATTCACTAGTTCTCTTCTCTGGAGTAAAATAACTCCTCCATGGCTCAGCTTCCTCATCTGCAATGGAAGTAATAATAATTCTTAGTTCATAAAGTCATTGTGAAACTTAAATAATACATGCAAATAAAGCATTTAACAGTGTCCCTGGAACATAGTAAATGGTTCATAAATATAAACAAATCTAATTTCAATTAATTCTCTTATTATTATCACTAATAGAAATAAAATGAGGCATGAGACTAAATAGCCTCTAGGGATTTGCCTGGTTCTATCTGGCCCTTTGGGGTCACTCTGAGAAATAATGTCATCATGGTCATTGAACTCTTCCTGTAGTGACCAGTACCCACACATGAATAACATAGTGGCAAGTGACCCATCATCAAAGTGAGAGTTAATTATGCTAAATTAGGATTTAAATTATTTCTTACATATTCAGGAAAATTGACTTAACTTCTGAGGCAGATTTTCTATTTGTATTGTTAGTGCACTAGTGATGTTTTAAAAGTTTATTATTTAGTAGCACACTGCTAAAGATTGCCTGAAAAGGGGCCGGGCGTGGTGGCTCACGCCTGTAATCCCAGTATTTTGGGAGACTGAGGCAGGTGGATCACGAGGTCAAGAGATCGAGACCATCCTGGTCAACACGGTGAAACCCCGTCTCTACTAAAAATACAAAAAATTAGCTGGGCATGGTGGTGCGTGCCTGTAGTCCCAGCTACTCAGGAGGCTGAGGCAGGAGAATTGCCTGAACCCAGGAGGCGGAGGTTGCGGTGAGCCGAGATCACGCCATTGCACTCCAGCTTGGGTAACAAGAGTGAAACTCTGTCTCAAAAAAAAAAAAAAAAAAAAAAAAGATTGCCTAAAAAAACAAGGTTGGGACCTGCTAGAACCATGTAGGTATATTGTTTGTGATTATATATTTTGAGGAACTATTAATTAAACTGTATACTTTTTCTGAAGGTTTGAGAGGTAAGACTGGACCACTGGGTCTCGCCGGTGAGAAAGGAGACCAAGGAGAGACTGGGAAGAAAGGACCCATGGGACCAGAGGGAGATAAAGGAGAAGTAGGTCCAGCTGGTCCTCCTGGACCAAAGGGAGACAGAGGAGAGAAAGGGGACCCAGGGCTGCCTGGAGTTTGCAGGTGTGGAAGCATCGTGCTCAAATCCGCCTTTTCTGTTGGCATCACAACCAGCTACCCAGAAGAAAGACTACCTATTATATTTAACAAGGTCCTCTTCAATGAGGGAGAGCACTACAACCCTGCCACAGGGAAGTTCATCTGTGCTTTCCCAGGGATCTATTACTTTTCTTATGATATCACATTGGCTAATAAGCATCTGGCAATTGGGCTAGTACACAATGGGCAGTACCGGATAAAGACCTTCGATGCCAACACAGGAAACCATGATGTGGCTTCGGGGTCCACAGTCATCTATCTGCAGCCAGAAGATGAAGTCTGGCTGGAGATCTTCTTCACAGACCAAAATGGCCTCTTCTCAGACCCAGGTTGGGCAGACAGCTTATTCTCTGGGTTTCTCTTATACGTTGACACAGATTACCTAGATTCCATATCAGAAGATGACGAATTGTGATCAGGACCAAGATCCCTGTGGTGGATACTCTAATTGAATCTGGGGTTCCAGAAGGTGGAACAAGCAGGAATGGGATCCAAAGAGACTTTCACTTTGATTCTAAAGCATTTGAAGACAATTCTAGCAGAATTTATTAAAACAAGATGAAACACAAAAAAGTTGAAACCACACAACAAAATGAATTCTATAAAAGAATAGCCCCAGATATAAATTCTCTTGAAAGCAATGTTCACAAATATTTAAACAAATTCAAGACAATGTTAACAAATTTTTTATTAAATGCCCTGAGTGATAAAACCAGTTGGCAATAATATTGCCTCATTAAATCTTCAAAAATTATATTTTAGTCTGTTATTTAAGAGAAACATAACATCTCAAAATCTTTGACAATTCTCGAAAGGCTATATAGGAAGCCAAAAAACAAAAGGTAAGAGATGCTAACTATTTTTCAAGCAAGCTAAAGAGAAATAATAAATGTCTTATGTTTTATTATTTATTCATGGTTGTATATATTCACTCAACAACCCTTTAAGGAGCCCATAAAGACCAGACACTGTAGTGCTGAATCAGCTTTAATAATGAGTTAAGACAAAGCCCCTACTTTCACACAGGCTAGTTTGTGATGAACAAACTACCACAATTCAGTGTGATGAGCACCGTAGCAAACAAATGGATTTGATGCTAAAAGCACACAGGGTCTGCTATTCCTGAGGCTGGGGCCAGAGAAGCTTTTACACATGGAAAAACACTAATCATGCCAAGGTGTATGTGTTTAAGTGGGTGTGATGGATGCAAGGAGAATGAGGAATTCGGCACTGCGTTCTCTTTGCACCCTCAATGCATTGTTAGTATTCTCAACAGTGAAGGGGTGAAAAATCTAGACACAGAGAAGGCCTGGAAGGGGTGATGAAGATTGAAATGAAGAGAAACAGCCAGCAGGTGATTCTCCTAAATCCTTTAGTGTGCTGGTTTCCCAAGACAAACATTTGTCCTAATAGCTTTCTCATAAATATGGGAATTACTTTACATTGTGGTAAGACATTGCTTCTCACCGAACTGCTAGTCATTCAGTTCAAATAAAGCAAGGCGTATGTTCACTGACTTATGAGTAAGCTGATGAGAGCAATGGACAGGAAAAAGAAGGACAGAGACCAAATGTCTGAGTAAGTAGACATCCCTTCCAAGTCTCACACCTCCCTTAGTCCCACTCTTGCTTGTGTCAGCATCTTGTTCTTCACTGAACTGTATTCTTCAATTAATCTCCTCCATGATTCTGTCTGATCTACCATTCTCTTGGTTTATGGTAATAGTAGTCCCTTAATCTCTTCCTTTTGGTAACTTCTAATCCTCCTTCTATGTATTCCTTTCTCTGCTCATGACTTACAAATAGTTCTTATATCTCTTATGTTTGAATCACCATGCTAGATTCTGTGAAGACAGAAGAGTATCAAGATTAACACATTAATAGTATATCTTCAACTAGTAAATTTCTAAGGATACAAGAAAGAAAATAGCATCCCCCACACACACAAATACCTATAATTTTGAAAGAGAACATGACAAAATATGCTAAGTTCTAAGATGGTAATAAGAGCATAATGCTGTGAAATAAGAGGAAATGTTTACATCCAAATTAGAATGCCAGAGAGAAGAGATAGGGAAATCCTCTCTGCTCATTGGGCCTTAAGTGATGGTTGGGACTTGGAGTGGCACAAGTTGGAGGAAAGGGAATTTGAGACACAGGTAATGACAGGGACAAAGTCAGAACAGAGATCCAAAAGGAGAATCAATTGACCATATTTGTAAGAGCTTTGAAAGCCAGCCTGAGAATTAGGGAATTTATTCATAAGAAAATGTGGAGACCCTGTGTATTCCAGAACTGGATACTGCCATTACCACAGATGAAAGTTGCAATGATCTAGCAGTTGTGTGTAAGGGCAATGCTTACTTCTCCTGTCCTTCAACCCTATCTTGCTTCATTGTCTTTATCTGCCTGCCATACTTTGTCCACTTGTGGCTCTCCTTCTGAGTCAAGACATGGATACAGGAGACCAAGAACAATGAATATTAGACAAGAAAGAGAGAGCAAAGGTGGTTTGAGATAGTCACCTGCTTACAGATAACAGCCAAAAATAGAATTCCAAGCTACAAAGTATAAAAGAACAGCCAAAAGAAGTAACTAATCTGGGGAAAATGAACATATGGGCCCTTTGAAGACTATAGGATATGCTGGGTAAATTGGAAATGGAGTTATTACAGACAGTCATGAACTACAGATTACTGTGATTAAAATTTTCTTCTGATCATAATCCACAAATGCATTCATTTTTTTGGACATTGTTTACTTATCTTTTGAATGTTTATTTTATTACAAAGCCTATTTTAAGTAGCTTTTAAAACTGAATTTCCTTTAATTGGTTCAAAGCCCAGAGATGAATTTCATTTTGAAATATCTGGTAGGATGGTAATTGGGATCAGAGAACTGATGTGGTAAAGGAAGAGCTGTTTTGGTACTAAAAAATAAAATAAAATAAAATCTTAAGCAAATGTTAGTGTCTTTTACTCTTAAAAAATAGCAGATACAATTTATCCACATTCACAAATACTTGTATAAAGAAAGTAGAACAATTTTGGTTTAAAAAATTCCAAATCTCATTCCAATCATTCTTTGTAAAGGCTGACTTGTAATGAATATGTATTAAGCAATATTTATTGACTATATATCATCTTGGTCTGGAAAGGTTTAAAGCCACTTAGAAAGATAAGTAAGATGTAAAAAGAAAGCAGCAGTAAAAAGCAGATGACAAAAAATGGGAAAAACAAAGAAAAAAGAAATAATGAGGCTAACATAATACTGTGTGTACATGAACACACATGTGACTGTGTTACATGTTTTCAGGTCATGCATGTTTCTTTGTGCCTGTGCATGCACAAGGGCATTTCCAGGTCATTTATCATTGTGAATAGTGTTACTTATGATAAAATATAGATTCCATAAACTCTAAATATATTTTTTTTCTGCCACTCTGTGTAAAAGATCATGAATGTAAATAAATTTTAGATAAGAGTTGAGTTAGTCCATTTGCGTTGTTATAAAGGAATACCTGAGGCTGGGTAATTTATAAAGAAAAGAGGTTTATTTTGGCTCACAGTTCTGCATGCCATACAAACAGCATGGTGCCAGCATCTACTTCTGGTTAGGCCTCAGGAAGCTTCCAATTGTGGTGGAAGATGAAGAGGGAGCCACTATCCTATCACATGGAGAGAGAGGGATCAAGAGAGTGAGGGGGAGATGCTACACTGTTTTAAGCAACCAGATCTCACATGAACTCATTAACATGAAGACAGACCCAAGACATTCATGAGAGATCCACCCTCATGACCCAAACTGCTCCCACTAGGCCCACCTTCAAGATTGGGAGTCATATATCCACATGAAATTTGGAAATATAAAAACATCCAAGCCACTCATTAGTTTTCTCACTTCCTCTCTCTCTGTAGGTCCACTTCCAGTAAACAGCATCACTACCCACCCTGCACCAAAGCCAAAAACCTAAGGTGCAATCTAAACGTCTTCCCTCCCTTACCTACTGAATTTTGCCCAGCATAAAATTCTTATGCTTCCAACCACTAAATGCACATATTGGATTCATTGCACCTTTCCATTTCCAGTGCAAAAGGTGTCATTCATACATCACTTCCCTCAGTCAGTGAAAAACGTTGTAACTGGCCCTTTGCTTCCAACCATAACCCTTCAATCCATCCTCCACACTAGGTTGAATATATCCTTTTAAGATGAAAGGCTATATTCATGCCATTTCCCAGCTTAAAAACCAGCAATGGCCCTCCCAGTCCCTCCACTGTAAAAGGTGTCTTGAACTTCTATATGTTTTGCCATCAGGTGTGTATTTCATATTGTTTTCTGGTATCCATACCCAAACTCCTTCTGAAGGACCATCTTCCTTTACATGCTAAGTCTATGAGCTTCTCAGTGGAATTGATGCTTCCAGTATGTAAATCTCTAGCCTAATTAATTAGACTGTAGAATTCCACTCACCAAAATAATTGATTCAGGTGTCTTTATCAGAGCCAATACAACTCTGCTTTAATATCCATAGAAGACAGTCACCTTCTTTTCCATTGGACTGGAGCCTGTGAGCCTCTACCAGCCACATTATCATCACAGAGCCTAATACCACTCAAGAATATACCCATGCACAGGTGAGAGAGATAAAGAGAGAACATGGGTCTTGGAGTCATCATTTGAACCCTAATCTAGACATACCTATAGTCAGCTCTTCCATTGGACTTTTCAATTATGGTTAACTATTAAATGTTGTTTTTACTTAAGCCTTTTGATTATTTGATCACTTGCAAAAGATGTTATCCTACCTAATATTCATAAAAGCATCCTTTATCATGGTGCATTTTACCCTATAGGATGTGGCTTCTTCAAACTCTTAAGTCACATCTTCAAAAGGCATCCACATGCAACTATCATCCAAGGATATGCAGATAACTGCAGTTCTAGAGTACTTTGCCCTAGAATGCCTCACCTTTTCAGCTCAAAAGTTAATTTCTTTCCTCTAATCTTCCCCTTCCCCTGTGTCTAAGGAGAATTACAGATGACCACATGTGTTTTCCTTGCCATCTGAGAACCAGTGTGTAGACATGGCAGCAATAGCAAACACTTACTGGGCACTTTTTGAGTTTGCTTTACATGTATCAACTCACTTGGTTCTTGCTACGGTCTGCATGCTTGTGTATCCTCAATAGTCATATGTTGAAACGTAATCACCAGTGGGATGGCATTAGAAGGTGGGGCCATTGAAAGTAATTAAGTCATGAAGGACCTACTCTCCTAAATGGGACATGTGCCCTTATTTTTTAAAAAAGGCCCCAGAGACCTCCTTTCAACACATGAGTACGCAGTAAGAAGATGGCCATCTATGAATGGTGAAACAGGCCCTCACCAGTCACCAAGTCTGCTGGGTCCTTGATCTTGGACTTCCTAGCCTCCAAAACTGTAAAATAAATGTCTGTTGCTCATAATCTATGCAGTTTTTGGTATTTTGATATAGTAGTTCAAATGGATTAAGACAGTCCTCACAACAATTATTCTCTTCATTTTACAGATGGGTAAACTGACAGGCAGAGAGGTTACCAAATATGTGAAGTAAATAGTAAGTGTTGCAGTAGACCTAGGCAATGAAGCGCCAAAGCCCTCTTTCTTAACCCCCATGCTGCTGCCTTGCTCATATGTATTTTACATTTGTCTGTCTAATGCAGAGTGTGTTTGCCCTATTGATTTTTTATCCCAGGACTCTACATGATGACTGCTATGATATGTGCTCAGTGAAATATGATGAATTAATTAGTGACAAGTTCTTTTCAGTCACAATCTACACATGTGGTCAGAGACAGATGGGGAAGGTGTCACAACAGGAAAGCCCTATAATCATCTTATACATCAATCAATATTCTTTAGATTATAACTGCCAGGCTCTAATTCAGCATGGTTCAAGTAAAAGGAAAGTCACTGAAATAACAAAAATCCCAGAACCAGATGTGGGTACCCAAACATTGTCACCAGGATCTTATCTCTCTCCATCCTACAGAACAGCTCCCCCCATTGCTGGCTTCACTTTCGAGGAGGAGTCTTGTCTTTATTTATTGCAAAGATGGCCACCAGCAACTCAGGTTTGCATTTTGCAGTTCTAGTGAGGGAAAAAAATTCTCTTTGTCAATAGTTCCAGTTAAAAACCTGGAAATGACAGCCTTTTGATTCTGATTGGTCCTGCTTGAATCATGAGCCTATCCATCAAGCAACAATTGGCCCAAAAAATGTGATTTTGCCATTGGCCAGGCTTACATCACAACCCAGCGTGAGAACCTGAAGAAGAATCCATCTCATCTAAATCACATGGACAGAGGTTGGAGGAGGAGGAAGAGATCATTTCCCAAAGGAAAATGAAGATTCCAGTCAAGAAAGACAGAGATTAGTAAGCAACAAAATTAGCTAGTGATTTCCTAAACTGTTTTCATATTTTAAAAAAACATTTATTTTGTCTGCATGATGCAAAATAAATCTGTCGCTAGAATAATTTTTGCCTGAAATAATCTAATATTTGATAATATTTGTTGAAAATTGACTAAATATTTCATACTATAAACACCTGGCATCTGTAATCTCATCTACAGGCTGTCATGATGCTCACCTCCAATGGCCACGTTTAATGAAAGAATAAATTATTTTCAACTGAAATACTTCCTCTTCCCCTCAAACTCTCTGATTTTTGACATCAATACCCTAGAATAGGCAATAACATATGCAACTATTTTTGATAATTATAAAATGAAAGGAAAGAGCATCCTTGGAAATTAGTCTCTATGGAATCAAAAAGAGCCAGTTTGAGGTTGCAGAGAAAAGGGAACACTTATACACTGTTGATGGAATTGTACATTAGTTCAATCACTATGGAAAGCAGTACAGCAATTCCCCAAAGAGCTAAAAACAGAACTACAATTCAACCCAGCCATCCTATTACTGGGTATATACCCAGAGGAATATAAATTATTCTACCATAAAGACATATGCATGCAAATGTTCATTGCAGCACTATTCACAAAAGCAAAGAAACTCAATCCATCTAAATGCCCATCACTGACAGAATCCACGGTACATATGCACCATGGAATACTATGCAGTGATAAAAAAAGAATGAGATAATGTATTTTGCAGGAACATGGAAGGAGCCAGAGGCTATTACCCTCAGCAAACTAACACAGAACAGAAAACCAAATACCATACATTCTCATTTATAAGTGGGAGCTAAATGATGAGAACTCATGAACACAAAGAAGGGAACAACCGACACTGGAGTCTGCTTGAGGGTGGAGGGTGAGAGGAGAAAGAGGATTAGAAAAGATAATTATTGGGTACTTGGCTTAATACCTAGGTTATAAAATAATCTGTACAACAGACTCTCATGACATGAGGTTACCTATGTAACAAACCTTCACATGTTCCCCCAAACCTAAAATAAAAAGTTGTTTTTTTTTTTTTTTTTTTAAAAAAAAAGGAGCCAGTAAACTCAATTCATCCCTTGGCCAACACATAGTGACAGCCCTGAAAGAAGAGATTGAAAAGCCACCCCCAATTGTTAACTACATTGCTGGCCTCATGTTTTCCTGAGAGATCACCAATTACTGCCTAATGATACCAGCAGTTACCATTTACTGGGTGGCTAGTAAATGGCACCATATTGGATCCTTTCAGCATGGTGCCTTACTTTATCTTCTGGAAAAGCCCCTGTTTGTAGCTCTTTCTGACCTCTAGAGAGAATTCAGCACCACTCTCACCTTTCTCTTCTTAAAAAAAAAAAAAAAAAAAAAAAAAAAAGCATTTGTATGGACATTGGGATGGAAGCAGTGCTGGGGTGCTGCTTAAGCATCAGCATGGAGAAGTTAAAAGACTCTGAAGGCCACATATCAAGTTCTATGGGGGTTCTTCTCTCTCCAGGATGTGCCTATCAGTGTCCAGGCAGAAGGCAGCAGACCACTTTCAAAAGGATTTCACTGTGGAAGGTCGAATGAAAGAACTGTATTAAAGGTGCATGTGGGATTAAGAGAACCATGCAGGGATTTTGAGGTATCCAAGGACTAGCAACAGCAGGAATGCTTCACCATCCCAAAGCCTGAGAAGGAGGAGAGGCAGTGGTGGTTGCAGAGCACAGTGAAGAGCTGGAAGAGGGAACAGCCTACAGGAGCTACACCTGCAGAAGAGCTCAGCCACTGCCCAGAGTAGAGAAGCCAGGACTGTGAATCCCCTGACCACCCTTTTCTACCTTTCATTCTCCTATTTATACCCCTCACTTATCAAACCCCATGACTCCAGGTGCCCAGGGAGTCTTGGTGATGAAGTGCACAGAGATGGGCTTCTTGGGCAAAATGCAGAACAGACAAAAACAGAAAATGGATGGGAGCCAGGAAAGAGGGTGAGAGCAACAGAATTCAACCAGCACAGGGCTCCCCTCCCAGAATCTCTTCCTTCTCTAGAGTCTC